CTCTCCACTCTGCGTGGGTGATCGTAGGGTGCAGGCGAGGTAGATGGAAATAGAACAAGCGACTGCCAATCACTCGAGAGTGTACGTGACCGACACTCGGCATCGTGATCAGCAACTGTGGCCATAGCATGGATATGGATTTTTGAAGCAAGCCTAGCAAGAAATAAAATCCTGATTGTTTATACTTCAGATTACAAGGCGACCGTTCATCTTTGCAAGTGCTGGACACCACTAGGCCTTAGTCAAAATTTACTGGCTGCGTCGCTCAATTCGAATCTGACATAGTTACCTTACCAGCGATGACAAAAAGACAAGGATTCAGCTCAGTGGAGCCGCGTCGAATAAGGCGGAGATTGTTGACAGAAAATGCAACTCGTGGGGCTGGAGCAATTGACAGATCTCTGTGCTTCTTGAATTGACTGTAGAAATCACTATGTTGGCCCTGGAACCTTCAAAAGCATTTCTAGGGGCTGTTTATCCCCTAGGAAATCCTCTTTAGGTCCCGGGGCTATTTCTAATACTAGGAAAACGATATGTACCCCTGGGATCTTCAGTTTACGTTCCCTGGCTGAATACGAAACTGGCTCTGGGAATACATTGACCAGACCTGGGAGCTATGACGCCCCTGGGAGCTTACGTTAGAGTCCTAGAGTCACTATACTGCCTTCCGAGGATCGCAGAAGCTCTCACAAGACACCTTCACCAACCCTGCGCACAATTCTGCGTCATTGGATCCCCCAGGAGGCCAAATCATCGCCCCAGGATTCAACAAGTCGTCAACAGGAACGCGGCTTTGATTCCCAGAGGCGGGGATACCAAGGCCCCGGAAGCTACATCGGGTTTCCTGGGGGCTACGTGGCTCCTAGAAGCTGCTTCTTTGCTCCCAGGAATGTTTCAGGAGCCCCTGGGAGTAAGATAACTCCCAGGGTCAAGAGATGAGCTCCTGGCACCGATAGAACCGTCAACAGGAACGTGACTGGTTTCTTGATAAACATCTCCCTAGATTACAGAGCCCCTTCCTGCAGGCAGACAAGAGGCGAAAGCAGGAATAAGTAAGAAGTAACGAGGCAGAGGCCAGACAGGAACAAGATCACGGTGTTGGATTATAAGAATAATTCCATTCAATGCCCGAGTTCCGATCCTGAACTTTACATATGGCATTGAATCAGCGCCACCAATGCCACCAGCACGTCTTGTCTAATCTGGAGAGCCCAACTACATCATCCAAGTCCTCCAATATGTAGCGCGAACAACACGGTATTCCACGTTCAACGTCTCGGGTTTAGTGCTCACTCTATGGTAAGCCAAAATCAGTGAAGTGTTCCAGGTGTATCGAGGCAAATGTAGCGTACTATGGGCAGTGCAGAACTTCGATCCGCTCTCGGCCCACGTATTACAGCCTTGCTTAACACACTTGATGGCGGGACTTGGCATCTTGGGCTGGTGAAGTAGGGACTTCAAATTGATTATGATGGAGAAATTGTTTGAATACAATAGAGAAACGCAGTAGGAAAGCAGTAGAGTATCTTCGAGCAGCTCCGGGGAAGAACCTACTATTTGAGGTCCAGTCCACCAACACGAATGCAATGCTGCCTGCTGATGCATGCGATACCTCCCAAGGTCTGACGCTGCTACTGCATCAGTCACACTGCCAAGCCTGACATTGGCCTATGAAGTCTGGTAGCCCAGCGCCGCGGCTGAAAGTGTCCCATCATCATACCTGATAAGCACGGGGCCCAGGAGCAAGCTCATGTCCTCGAAAGTCACGTACCATTGATTGTGACAAGGGTTGCAGCTAAATCGGATCTAGTCTTCTATGCTGACAAGGCCTGTGCGTATATGATGATGACCACTGCGTCAGTAAAGGACACGTGTCAATCGTACACGGTCTATGCAAGTTTGACATTACTTATTCAGCACGGGTCATTCCAGCCACCAGGTGGGGTCGTTCTAGGGTCTTAACGGATAGATACAAGGCTCGACATTATCGTCTCTGCTTCGCTATTTCACGATATCCCCGTTCAATTTCGAACAATGGCAATTTGGCATTGTGATTTTGACGGTTGCAACAAACCTTCTGTTCGCACGTATGGGGACTGCGTCCTTTGTGATCTCCATCTTTGCGCGAAACATTTGGGGCCAGAGTATCATACGTGCCCAAAGTGGGAGGTTTGTGAATCAAATCCTACAAATTGAAATGGCTACTTATTTTTTTCGGTCTGAACAGGATGAGCATCATTACGACCCTGCTGCTCAAGAGGCTGAAAAGAAAGAAATCACGACTCTTATTGAAAAGATTGATATTTTAGCGCTCACTCGACGTGCTAGCAGTCTCCGCGGCGGTCTCGCGTGCTCTGTAGCCCAGGGTCTACAATATGACAGAGCATTGCGTAGCTCAGTTATGGGAGGCATGAATTATCATATCGAGATTTTATTCGAGGATGGGAAAAGCTGGCTCGCGCGTATCCGAAGATTCAACGCTACTTCCCCACCCCCGGAGCTGCGGGATTACATACTGCGCAGCGAAGTCTCAACATTGCAGTTCTTGAGCAAGACAAAAGTTCCTGTTCCTACGGTTTTTGACTTCAATGCAGACGAATCAAACCCTGTCGGTGTTGGTTATATCCTTATGGAGAAGTTGCCTGGGAAATCATTGCGCTGGTCGATTACTACCCCTGAGCAGAGGCAAAAAATTGCTAGTCAGCTTGCGGATATTTACATTGAACTGAAAAGTTATCCCTTCTCGGTAATGGGCTCTTTCAATCAGCAGAACTCTTCTCATGTGGGCCCCATCGCACGAGAGTCATTGACCGACTTTCAGGACTTGCATATGAAAATGCTTGGGCCCTATTCGTCTTCAGAAGAATACTTCACCGCACACATTCGATTGATATTGGATTTGATAATACGACAAGAATCCTACGTCAACCGCCCAGTCGATGCTTTCTTGATACATCGTTTTCTCCTAGAAATTATCCCCAAAATCTTTTCAAGAAACTCTCTCGACGATGGGATGTTCTACTTGAAACATGCGGACGAAAAGGGGGATCAGATCCTCGTTGACAACGACTACAACATAACAGGCATTATTGACTGGGAATGGGCCCAGACTGATTCGAAATCAGCAGCTTTCAACTCGCCAATTGTGCTTCTTCCGGTTGCGGATTTTTACGAAGGGGCTGATCATATCGGCGAAGATGAAGATTTCTTTGCCAAGTGCTTGGAAGAGAAAGGACATCCAGATCTTGGGGAGATAGTCAGAAATGGGCGGCTTCTTCATCGAATCCAATTCTGTTGTGGATATGACCTCGATGATTGGGACGGATTCATTGGGCTCTTTTTCGGGCTACTCAAGACCTTGGGCATCGAAGGCGATTCAAACTGGGAAACCTGGAAAGCGGAGGCCATGGAAAGCTATCGAGGAGATTTTCAGCTAAAGCAACTCCTCAAACTGTCCGAAGCTGAATGAAAGGGGACGCATTTTCAATCATATGACATACGCTTTATTGCGACAATTCGCGGTATGAATCTAAATACTGCCCCCAAATTAGGCTCATAGAATTACTTGCAATAGAATAAAACCAGAAGGCCTTTTCGTATGGAGGCACGGTTTGTCTAGAGTCGATCTCCTCTTGCCCCTCCAAGGCGGACAAAAGAGGAGGCCAAATCTAGACATAGCAATCATCGTAATCTGAAGCCCGGGCCACCAGTCCTCTTGCCTAGCGACTCGCCTTCTCACAGTGCTTGCCGGATTGACACGGATCCTGTTCTCCAACCGTTTTGTAAGTCCCCTATTCCAATATTCTTCCCGTATCTATCTATCACCCTAGCAATGTCAAACGCTAAATTTCGCCTCAAGTTCTTTGCCAGAAAATACGCAGCCTCCGCGCGATCTTCTCATTGATTACCGCTACCTGAAGTCTGTGTCGATCAGAGCATTACCAAGATGTTTGTCATCCATTTCCTCCTTACTAGCAAATGGTCTTACTTTACGGCGGCTTGTCAATGCAGGTCGTGTGCCCGAAACAACCGATACAACCTTGGCATTCTTACTGCGGAGATGTCTCAATATCAAAAAGGCAAAAAAATAAAATAAAATAAAAATTCAAAGATCCGGAACGGGGATATTTGAGCAATAACTCAAAACCGAGTAGTACCGTTAGAAAATTCCAAATGCATAAAACTGTTCCAGCAAACCCGCATCGCCAATCCAACTGCAACAGCCCGAGTCCTCTTCATAAACGGTGGATGGGAAACCTGACCGACTTTGAATTAATACGCATACTGTGGTTGGAAAAAAGTCTACACACCTGAACTTCAATCATCCGTGTTTTAGTTTTTTCAAGCCCACGTTTTATAAAAAGGAAATTCCAAGGGATGCTTCTAAGAGAATAGAAGTCGGTCGCATAACCGCGCGGGGACGAGTAGCCGTTTCAATGTAATACCCCGAGGCCAGGCAACCATAGTTCCAGGCAGGAAAATATGATATATCCGATCATGTGATAACAGCTGCATGTCGCTTTGATCAGTCCGCACGATCTTCCTGCGTGAGCATGATGATTGTAGGTATATCGACAAAGAATGGCTTAACTGAACGCTCCTAGGTGTTAACGATATCAAGGATGAAGAAGTATTTTCGGCTAGAGTGTTAGCTCACCAGCTGATCTTCAATTCTTGCCACTGCAGGTTGGACATGCAATACCGTTCACGGTCTTTTTGCCTCCGCAGGTTTCACATGGGGCCATCTTCGTCCTCGTCAAGGTGAAAAGTAGGTAAAGAAGTAGATTCTTGATGGCTTGAGCGGTAATTTAAGAGCAAGTCAGGAAAACCTCATTAGTTCTGTGAGCAAAAGGCTGATGTTCTTTCTGCCCAACGGCGGCGGCCCTGCTCGGTATTTATTGGATTCCGGCCGATTTCTCGGATTCTGACTAATCGAGCTTCCGCCGAACCATGGGAAAAGTTGGGTGGACCTACCTCTCCTCGGCACCCCATCCTCAATAATGTCAGACACACAACCACAGTGTGCTTGCTCAGCCTTCTTTGAAACAGAATTAAATCTACTCGAGCATTTGGAAGAATATCGTGTTAGTAACGCTAAGATAAGTCGTGTCACTTAGCTGACTTCTTCCAGTCCCGCGAACAGCGCCTGCAAGCCGAACTCGAGCGGTGTCGAGCCCATTCGAGGCCCAATGGTGATGACTGTCGAGGGAAGGACGACAACGACCAAGGCGAGAGCGACGATGACCAACATATTTATGACAAAGATGCCGGAAATCCTATGAGCACTATAAGGAAGACTGGAGCTTCCAAAGGGCGTTTCTGTCCATCCTGTGAACGTGCGAAGCCATTTCCGAAAATGCAGGGACTCCGGCGGCACTTCCAACAACGCAAGTGGTGTCCTCTCTGACGCGCTGCTTTCTATTAATTATTAATTCAGATGTCACATGCGAGGAAGTTTGTGTGTGCTGTTTTAAAGTTTTCAGGCTCGTGAGCGAGTTCATTAGACATGCCGATAGACATGATGGAGCATGCGAAAGAAAACGGTCATTCATCAAGAAAACATGTGATGAGTTACGCGAACAATCCGACAAACAACTAGCTCTCGCAATGAGCCAGTGTCGATCAGGCGTTCTTGTGGGGAAGAAACGGAAATGGGAAGTGGCAGCTTTGGGCTCCGATATTTCGGGAGCTCAAGCCAAGTTTGACAGGATCGGTATGACGGCTTTGGACCAAAGTCTTTTTTCCCAAAGCAATGAGGGTGACAGTTTTCGCCAGCTCGGCCAGGCTCGCGATGAACTATCTGCACCCCTAATCCCGATGCAGTCGCCCATAGCCTTACCCCGGCTGAGCACCATGGTTGATACCGTCAATCCTAACAGCTCTTCGAACATGTCAACGGAGGAAATCTACTTCAATCCCGGAGAAGGGCAAACCCAAGATCTCGACTTGCTACAAGATTTTGATGCTCCTATCCTTCAGATTATGAACAGTATCCCAGCATTGTCGACCGGATGGGCGGCTCAAGATGATTTTGTGGATATAACCACAGAAGCTGCAGTATACCGTGAATAATGAGGGCTAATTCTTTGTGCTTCCACCAGAACCCTCAAACGTGAAGTTCAGTCCAATTTTCGCGCTCAGCATCTCTAATTCCCTGACTTTATGTTCCAGTCCTTCTGAGTGTGGAAGGATCATTTTCGCCCAGTTGGCGATCACTTCATCCGTGGCAAAAAGAAACGTAATGGCATATCCCTGCTCGATCTTAAAACCGAGTCTAGCATCTAGAATCACCCTACAGTTGTTAGATCCTGACACTATAATATAAATATATTACTTACAAGCCACCATCTGGAAAATCCTTCACCTCGGGCTTAGAGCCCACACGATCCAGCTCGGATTGGGGAATCTCATATAAGGATCTTCTCCCCTTCGTAGTCGCCAAGTCGCAAAGATGCGAAAGGGTATAATACTCCGCTCGCGATCCTTTGGCCCACAGATGCACCATTAGAACACGGCGACCAGCTTTTAGACCACCCCTCCTGAAGCATTCGACATGGCCAGGGAATTCTTCGTATCTCAGCCAGTGTCCGAGGCTGCACCGTTCAAGGGAGGTTTCGAGGATAGATCGGATTCGCTGAAGATGATTAGATGGTAGCCACGGAGATGTATCATTCTGCTTACTTCGTCAAAGGCAAATTGCTTGCAAAAGTCCATACCATATTCGGTGAGGTACGGGAAACCCCGCCTCTCCATCTCCAAGACATGCTCGCCAACCGTAGAGTCATTCAAATCAAAGAATCCCTCCTCGAGGAGAGACTTCCTTGCCACATCTAGCTTGAATGCGGATGATGCCATAACTGAGACTGGCTGTGCCTGAAGCCGATGATGCGAACAGCTGCGGGGCAGTGGTCGGTTGAAGCTATCCGGAAAATTAATTTTCAATAACCGTCAAACCCCAGCCCCACTTCTGTCTCGGGCGTTCCCGTTCCTACTTGTCCGTTTTCGCAGTTAGGTAAGTCAGGGGAAACACAGTTTTGTGGTACCCTCTACAAGGATCACAGTTTTGTGATACCCTTCTACAAGGATCACAGTTTTGTGATACCACTACCTACGGGGAAGTTATCTGTCAGGGAACACAATCCTGTGATGCCGTTCCACAGGGATCACAATTCTGTGATCATCGCTGCAATTGGTCGCCAAGTCTACCGCGTCATTAAGCTGGTGCTTCCGATACCTACAGAGCTAAGAACGACACCACGATTTAGTGGTTCGATGCAAAAGCGACGCCACCAACTGAATAATACCTGAGCCTATCCAATTAAAATTAGCAGTTTCCTTCGTATATCATGCATGCACCGTACAGTGCACTTCTATGCAGCTAAACGCTGAATGTGAGGGGAAGCAAAATCTTGAGCTGTGAGTATAATCTTGGATAACACAGAAGTCCAGAGTAACGAACACTTAAGAAGGAGCAATTCCTCAGGCTCTTATTGACCTTTCCCTTCATCATTGGCATTCCAGTCTCTTGGGCCACTCCATACCAGCTTCCCATATCGCACCGATATTTTTCAGTCGTTCAAATTGCTCAACATGGCACTGAAGACTCCCTCCTGCCACCAAGGCTTGACACCACCCAATAGCCCAACGAAGGAATCGACTATACCTCTTGCCACCTTGAAGGATCTGATGCATCTCTTTGGTGTGTTTCTTGAAAATGCGCTGCTTGATCTTACCGACCAAGAACCGCCAAACACTCCTATCTCCCAGGACCAGTCCCCACCAATCCCTGATATGGTTCGACTGAAGCAACTGCTGGTGAACCTCACCAGTGATGAATGTGCTTCGGCTGAACTCTCCATGGCAGCCAAGCCTGATCATTCTTGTCCTGCAAGCAATGAACAGGAGGACATTGCGGTAGCAGATGGAACAGATCTCAAACATCCAATCAGTACGACGCCGGATGACTTCAAATTGTTTGAGAAGTGGGCATCTACACCCTCATTCAAAGCAGTTGTCGAAACGTATGAGCCACCAGCCAATCTCCCCTTCTAATTCCTTCAGAAAATGGCTGACCCGGATCTAGCTGGGACAAAGAAGCATGTAAATACAAGATTGTCGAACCGGCGGAGACCAGCAGTGGTCTGGACGATTATGCTGAATATGCATTCGTTGTCCGTGAACGTGTTGGTACGTAATGTTTTGCCTGGAAACCGAGACCAGACTAATGGTATAATTAGAACGAAATTCTGAGGAGGTGACGCCGTACATTGACATCAAATCGGAAGGCCTGCGCGACATCCTGCGTGAGGTGCTGCATGATATCAAGGCCATTAGCCTGATGGAAGACAAGCCATCGGTAATTGAGACAGAGTATTATTTCCACGAAGATCGCTGACATTGGTTAGATCGAGCAAAATATCCTTTTCCATTTCCTCCCAGAGCTCGGCAAGTATGCCGAAAATATGGACAACTCGGACTGTGAATTCCCACGTCAGCACCTCCGCTTGCTCATCGACCACCTCAAGCAAGCATATTCAGCCACCTCGCAGCGTCTCGAATCAATGCTGCAGTACGGTCATATTACATATGACCTTCTTTGGGCGCTTTTCAAGCCTGGTTGTCATGTTTATACCACATGCATTGGCACAAAAGAGCCGCGATGTGTCAGATTCGAAGCGGGGGAAGAGATGACACAAAATGACGAGACGTGGTGGAATCTCGAGTGCCGATTCTTTGATTATGACGGAGTCAAGTTCGGCGAGGCCGGAATGTTTCTGCGTCTGGCAAAGTTCCGGGGGTCAAAGCCGATCGAGAGTCTTGAGGCCTTCCCTCTCCGCTACCATCCAAGGCACGGGCAAGTCCGGAAAGACTTGGTCGAAAGAGGCGAAAAGTTTCGCGATTTGGCCGGCTCACACATTCGGCACTGTAGAGGCAGCGCGTTCTTTATGAACAAGGGGAAGGCTATCAAAGTCAACGTCAACAGTCGAGTGGGAGTGGACGCCGGATTTTTTCATGAAATGCAGCCAAACTACTCCCGACCTTCACTCCGCGACCTAGGGGTCAAGGAAAAGGATGGAATTGCAGTTATTAACATAGGTGCGATGCTCAAGGAGGATCGCGAGCGGGAGAAGGAGAGAATGCAAGGAGACGGAGTGGATGCACAAAAACTGAGCGAGACCGATTTCTTGGTCGCCTGCCCAACAGTATGCTGTTTCAGCTTCAAGGAGAAGATTTTCTGTATGTAAGTCTACTGACAATGTTTGGCGTCCGACTAATGTGATTTCAGTGGAGTGCGCAGTCAGTGCTCTTGAAGACGTGGATTGGTCACCTGAGTCGTTCGACTGCTTGAAGATCCCTTTAGAGACCAAGACCATCCTCTTGTCATTGGCAAAAACCCGCCTAGGGATGATACCGATGATACCGTTCGACGACGTAGTTGACGGAAAGGGCCAAGGATTCAACATTCTTCTGAAGTATGTCGGCGAAGCGCCTATACTATCAAGACTTCCAACTAACTCGTGCTAGTGGCCCACCGGGAGTCGGTAAGACTTTCACGGTTGAGGCAACCTCGGAGTATTTCAAGCTCCCCCTCTATTCGGTATGAACTATCCAGCTCGGCTGATTTTGGCGTCACTGATTTTTTCAGATATCCGCAGGCGAACTTGTTGTAGACCACGGAGATTCCAACGCGCTCGAGCAGCAACTTGAAACAGTATTTAAGATCGCGAAACATTTTGATGCCGTCCTTCTCTTGGATGAGGCAGACGCTTTCATGGAGCAGCGTACCTCATACCACGATACCCACAATCGCCTTGTGACCATTTTCCTCCGAAAGCTGGAATATTATCAAGGAATTCTTTTCTTGACGTCAAATCGGGGTATCCAGTTTGATGACGCAATTCTAAGCCGGATCCATTTGACCATCGAGTATGAAAATTTGACGAGAGAGTTTCGCAGAGATCTTTGGTCAACCTTTCTGTCCAAGGCATGTACGATGCAAGGACCTGCCGTCGTTGAGGAGTACGATCTCCGACGATTGGAGTCTTTAACCCTAAATGGGCGAGAGGTGGGTTCCAGAGAGCTGCTCTGCACTTCTCACTTGTTGACTAACATGAACTAGATCAAGAACATCGCAGCAATCGCACATGCTCTCGCTGAGGCTGACGTCAATCAGGTGACCTACAAATACTTGGAGTTAGCAGCCGATTCCAATAAGAAGTTTTCAAAGGAGTTTGGCAAAGAGAGGCCTGTTGATGGAATGTATGTCTAGTAGCATACTGTACCTGGGAAAGTCCTGTGGTTTATCTCGTTTCTCAAGGTTGTCGAGCAGTCGGTCTCTTATTGCAATGTGTTCGATTAGTACTGCACACGACAGTCCAATATATCGTTACTGAAGCTTCATAGTTGAATCAACGTTTTCATATCATTCATCACCTCACACAAAAGTCAAGTGCGAGAGCCAGAATTGGACGGTCAGTTTGCCATTGTCAACACATAGAAGCGGAGTCCCTCTTGGGGCAATGTAGGTGAAGTGGAAAACCGGGCATCAAGGATCGATAATAGGTCGAAGTTCTGGTTGATTCACGAGGATGTGGACTGGAAGTGCTTCATGCTTCATTATCATGCATACTTGAACTGCTAATCCAAAAAATAAGCATATTGCTTCCCGTTACACAAAGACGTTTTGGATCTCCCATCTCTGGTTGACATAGTTGTCGTTGTACCGCTCGTGATCGCTGCAAAGTCGGTCGACATTTCAATATATACCGGTGAAAGTCGATGATCAATGCCCGGCCTAGTTCTTTATTCCAAAGAAAATTGTCACGCCGAAAATCTTCGTGAGTGATTCCTTTGTTGATTTGCGAATCTCCTGGTGGAGCCAAGGCGTCAAGTCCATCAATGCTGTACTTCCCCCACCCTCCCACCCGGCCAGCCCATCATGAGCATATGACGAATCTCTCCAGCTCCATAAAGAAAATATATTTCGGCCAAGTCGATCGTGCCCAGGAAAACAGGCACAGCAGACCCTTGGGTTTTCCATTTGCAGCAGTTGTCTCTTTGCTCGTGGTCTTTGGAGCTGGCCAAAATTCAATTTTCTAGAGGCGTAAAAGTCGATGATTGTTGCCCGTTCGAGCTTTTCATTCCAAAGGACCTTCATATCTCGAAAGTCTTTGTAAATGATTCCCAAGGCCCCTTGATTTCCTGATTCGATCTGTGAATTTCCAAGCGAAACCAAGGCGCCAGCTCCATGACACTGTACTTTCTTCCCTATGGACATCACGAACAAATGATGTAATCTGAAGGTGCAGATGTAAATGTCCATGAGCCTAGGGGCCGTCATGTGCATACAGCAGTTGAGCTGGATAGGAGCCTTTGTCTGCTTTTCCCCTCCCCGACGCGATGACCATGCCGCGTGTTGCCAGAGGTTGGTTCAAGTGCCCGAGGGCGCTTCACCCATTTCACGTCCTCCAAGTCAATGACTATCAAACGACCGCCCAGGTCATCCCACAACATATTACGCCACTCACTGTCGCCATGGACCACCCCGTGTGAGCGGAGCACAGCCAGGGCCTTCTCGCACTCCTTGTGGAAACTCGAGTTGTCATCGTTGATGACGTGCTGAAGCCTGCTTCCTGACCAGCTTAGGATCATCATCTGCTCCATTAGTTCGCCGTGGTACCAACATGAGACTCGTGGCGTAAATGCCCCAAGACAGACGGGGATGTGCTTTCCCTGCGGGCTCCTGAGATAACCATAATTGTCTGCGTCTGCTTGAATGAGATGCTGCTTGTCCGCCGTGGTAGCCTTGATTATCACAGTGTATCCGTGTAATAGAAGAGTGGCTTTGATGAGGTAACCGGTCCGACCACAGACGTGGAGTTGTTCAAACCCATGTTTTCGGTTTCGGGCAAATTGACGTTGAAGCCGGCGTGCGAATTCCTGCGGTCACATCGAGTGTCTCTGGCTACCGTGGAGTTTCCAGTTGGGGCATTCTTTATCCAGAGTCTCGGTTCACCATGCCGCGGGTGCAGGCAATTGTGCAGAAGATTGTGTAGCCTGTCCGTCTTTCCGAGAGGTCTGTTTGTTGTCTCGACCGGCTCGTGTGCTTTTTCGCTTTCCTTAGTCGATTGACGGTTGTTACCTCGGTCGCGGCTCGACCGGCTGCGCGCCGCTGCTGCGATGGATGGCGAATTCGGTTCTTCATCACTGCCGCTGCCTTCGGTCGACGAATGCTTCCGAGTACGCTATCGTCTGCCTTGGGAGAACCAACCGTCACGGGGATGTTTACCGGCTTACTTATCTGGTGCCTCAGGCATAAACACCCTTGGCGGGCGGTTTGTGCTGGTTTTCAGTCACTGGTTCCAAAATGCTCGGTATACGTTGACAAAGTCGTTTCGGGCTACCTAGACTGGCCTCATCAGTGAACACCAGCTGAAATATACCCGCATACCTTATCCTTATTCACGGGGTATACGTCCTGGTATTTCCAAAACGCCAACCATGCGCGGTCTAAAGCGTATTTTGAACGGAGATTTGTCTTATCTGGAAGGCAAGCCCATCTTCAGCTTTCTCACGATCTGTCAACCTCAAAGATAATCGAGCATGTTTCAACGTTTTCCCGGTTCATTGATGACCTCATTTCACCGTTGACTACCGTTCACGCATGCTTGATTGAAACCACAGGCAGGTTTCTAAGGTCCAACGGGTTGCATACCTCATCTTTGGACATGCTGACTTCGGCATTGTGTCTGAACTCAACTCAACAGTTGGCACGCTAATATAAATGCGGAGCCACGGTGGCCCTTCATGGTTCACATGCCGGGTATTCAACGTTGAATGTCGAGTTTGCCGGATATGACCTAGCTAGTCAACCGTAAAGATCTTCAACATCACCGTTTGGTCATTCGTAAAGGTCTGGTAAGTCATGGATGCAAACCGGTTTATTGTCACATTTTTGATATATCAAGTTTAAACTTTCCCTCATGAAATTATTAATGAGGATGCCACTGTCTTTGCTTACCGCAATCAACGATTTCAGGGAGGATGTCTTAGAGGAAAGCTCGGGCGCCGTATAAATAACAGGCGTACGACCCAGAGACACAAAAAGCCAATAATTCATTCTGCTGCAGTGCTCCAAATGCGTACCTAACGATGAGTAATCACACCGATGAGGATCCCATGGATCAAGATAGTTGTACAAGCACGAGCGACGAAGCGAATCTGCAGCTGGATCGTGAATTACAACAAAGCGAAGGAGCCACTCACACAGCGACTGAGCCGTCACGGCAAACTATCCCAGTTGGGATTTCACCTGCCTATGTGAAAGGCTGGGACTCTGCAGATGCATTTCGCGAGCTGTACCAAAATTGGTATGTGACATTCTCTTCTATTGGATAAACACTGAGACAGAATAGGAAAGATGCTATTCTAGGAAGATTTCAGCTAAACCGATTGGATTTCAAGCCATTCTATGAAGACAAGAAAGACTATTTCTCCATCACAGTCCCGACTACCTCGAATGACAACGGCGATCGGCGAGCTCTGGGGTACATAAAATATGAGAAAAAGACCGGTCGAGTCACCTTGACCAATTCCTGCATGCAACTTCCCGTGGAGTCTCTCGTGATGGGGTTCACATCCAAGGACGAGCAAGACCAGCTGGCAGGCTCCCACGGTGACGGGCTCAAGCTGGCTGCGTTAATAATGAGTCGAGACGGATATAAAATGAGCGTGGCTGCAAGCCACTGTAGGTGGAGTTTTGGTCTGCATGGGACGTCCCAGTCTCTCCGTTGTGTCATCACTCCTTCCAGAAAGATGAGTCCAGCCATTCAACGAGACCCAGCTGATGATATGGCAAAGTTGCGGTTCCAGGATGAAAGAGACATCACGGTAATGATTGGGGCTGGACGTGCCAATCAAAATCGACCGGTATCGTCTGAAACATTCTTCGGGTGGCTGCGAGTCACTCTCGATATTCGCGGGCTCTCCTATCCCCCCTCGATTGTAGAAACGCCCCGAGGAGACTTGCTTCTTGATTCGCAGTTCCACGGAAAACTCTTCCTTCATGGGATCCTGCTAGCAATGACTACTCCAGGGGTCAAGCACTACAAGTTTGGTTACAACTTTGCTCTGGGTAAGTTCAGCCGTGATCGACAAGGAATGGTCGCCACGTGTGAGGTGGCAGATCAGGTGCGGCAAATATGGCAGTGTGCCCTGCACATGCACGAGCATACTTTACTTCCAATTTATGTCAATCTCCTTCAGAACTTTCCCCAGGTGGGCGATATTGAACAAGCCGATAAACTTCTGGAACCGTCTACCACGGCCCGTATCTGGAAATACTTGCTTCATGTGACGAGAAGAAAGCGATTCTTTTATAGCGAGACATCAAGCATCCAAGTCAGTTCACGGTGAAATGGTCAAGCTGGATATGCAATATACTAACCTTGAACAGAGTGTGGGCATGATACGAGAAACCACCGGGAAGAGGCCAACAAGAGTTCCAGAGGCCCTCTGGAACCTGCTGCGCTCAGGTTCACCGATCCGGACCGTCAAGGAGGAGCAGATAGAGCTTTTCAAGGATGCTGAGATTTGTGCTTCGCCCGAATCTGCCTTTGCAAAAACAACAGACTGGGCTTTGAAGGCTTGCCTGGCACTTTTAAAGACGACCAAACATATCAAAGTAGTCTATGTCAAAGGACTGACAGGGAAGCTTGATGTATTATACGACGCCGGACACGGTACGCTGAAAATTCATCATCGATGGTTGGACTTTGATGCGACGCACCAGGAAGCATCGTGTCGGAAATGGTTTCCTGCTGCCATAACCGAAAAGAATGCGCCGTTTTTCTGCAGTCACGTCGTAGAGGAGCTCTTGTATCTGACCATTTCTTCAATCTTCAAAGCATCCTCGACGCTGCGGATGACTGAGATGAAATACATGCGTCAGATCAGACGTCTGCTTCGAGTTCTGCCGCATAGCGTCAAACTCAGACCTTACTCGGGAGGCCTTCTGGTCACCTGGGAAGATAATGAGGCTGAATCATTTCGAAAACTTGGTGGAGGTGGGCCAGAGTACCGAGTCGTTCTCCATGCAGAAGAGTGTTTCATCGCCAGATCGGAGCTTCTCCACTCGAAAGCAGGTAAGATTGCCAGTTTACCATCCCTGCGCGTAAAGTAAATCGAAAGCTGAAGTGCCAGACAGTACCGAGTGGGATGGAATCCGCGGCATGTGGGTGTCGTCAGCAATTTGTTGTCCAGGCGCGCCGATGGTGTGTCTTTGCCGCTTTGGATCATTCCACAAGGTATTATGCGATGATCTCTCTCAATGAACGGCTGGCGATCTATGGCCTTCCATCTGAGCTGGTGTCACCTCGTGACGCAAGCATGGGTGGGCCCGACCACATAGCATGCAATCTGGATGGATCTCCGCCCATTGGTCGCCAACACGATCTCGGGACCCTGGAGTTGCAGGCCAACCTAACCTCACTTCAGGTGAACCAGCTCCATACCATGGAACAAACAAACGGCGAAGAGTCTCGCAGTTTCAAATGGATAAATGAATCGGCGAGCAAAGCTAGTCCAGCTCCAATCTCCGCGTGATAATCCTGTCTGATTGCAGAGACAGCTATCTAGCAGATTTGCTAGTGCCTTTAGTCGTCAGGTCCGATCACAACTCACATTCTATTGAATATTCGGAGAAATTTTTCCACCTTAGAAATGGCTCTTATCTGGTCAATTCTCGGCTAAGGCACTCCATGAAGTAGGAGCGAATCGGAAGGGTGAATACAGCCAATACGTCATGCGAGAATTATCCTTGAAATGAGATAGAATACTTGGGTTTGCAAGTATATATTGCTTATAAAAACGCAAGTCAATTACAGGTGTCAAAAACTAGGTGTATGATAACCTGGGAACCGTATACGTCAAGATGCTGAGATTGTTTAAATCTGATCTCTCTCTCATTGAGAGAGAGATTCTATATAAATGAGAGAAATCTCTGGATGACCTAGACTCATGATGGAAGGATCTGCGCTGATAGACCCATGCCTGATATATCTGGTATAAACCATATAAGTTAGTTACATACTCCAGGGGGTCAGGATAATTCCAGTCAGTCTCCAGGCACGCGAGCCATTGATGATTTAGCGTATTTGGGATCTCGAAATTTGCCCCGCTACGCACTAGCGGCCAAGTATTTTTCTCAGGGTACAACCAAACGATGGATAAACCCAAAGTATTCGCTTTGAACTCTTGCTGGTATGGCGTAGGGGTAGTGCGATAATAGGAGCTTCTCAACGAATGTCTTTGGCTAATTTCCACAAATCCTGAAATTAATATACCGAACATAGCCCGGCTGTGGCAGATCCCGACCGTTTCGATCAGCGTCAGCGCCTAAAGATTGGACAATCCGCTCTAACTTTGGCCCCCACGCTGGAGCCATGGATCGTCCATCATATTGCTGAAATTGGAAAGTAAAGAGCTGCCCATTTTCCTTGACCAGCTCCCTATGCTCGTGTACTCTCTTTAAAATCCCTCACGTTCTTAAACCCACACCTTAATAGTTTTGGGCAATAGGTATAGATAGTCACGTGGGCCAGATCGATCTTACCGGTGAGTTAAACACGGTGGCTTTCTGGATCCCTACCTAGGAACCGATAACATCCTACTGAACTGCCAAGTTTGAGCGATTCACCGAGGGACTTGCGAGGGGAAGTGGGCGACATGTCCAACAGTAGATCCAAATAGTTGGATAATATGGAAAAGCAGCACACGGTAGATTCTAATGTCCTTTCACGACCAAGATTGCATAAGTGGTCTCAGGACTCCGTCGAAGCTTCAAACCGATTTTGGAGCTGGGCGCCATGAGAGCAGCTTAGCTGTGACCACGGATGTTAGGCGGTCATGACAGGCCTTGGCGAGACCCTAAGCTCGCTTAAGAAGCGGAACGCGATACTCACAATACGAGGAAAGTAATATATAACGGGTTAGCCTGCATATCGCATTCGGAGTTGATTTCCCAGCTAGACTAAAATACGAATCCGCTCAGCCTAGTGGGTTATGGTTTAGAATCCAACTTTCGGTTGCTACACTAACGATCTCATATAGATTTCGTCCCACTAAGACTTTCCCTGCTCTGACGAGCCTTTTACTCATCTTTCCATTCTAAGTCTTTGCCGATCAGCTAACTAAGATGTCCTGCAATTGGTGATAGCAATCTACATATTAGCATTCTCCGTTACTGCCAGACGCTTGGTCATGCGAAGGGGTGATGGTTGGACAGAATCTTAATAACCCTTGTAGTGAGCGCGAAGTCGTTTCACAACGTACTCGTCCCCTCTGTATCTGACCTCTCATAGTTTTCAATTAAAGCTTCAGCTGGTAAGCAGCTCGGACCGAAAATAAATAACCGATTTCGAAATTAATTCAACTTTCATTCATGAAGTGATTACTGAATATCATCCTGCTCCTCCCTATCCGTATTGTCCAATTCATCGCAGTTTTGAGTACGAAGACGTCGAATTTCGGAGGTCAACTCATCGCAAATATTTTGTAGTTTTTCATTCTCTTTCTCAAGCTTCTCGCAACGATCATCCAAGGTCGTAGCAAGAGACTCGTTCCTCTGAATCCAGTAGGGGCACTGTGTGTGATCAGATTCCAGTTCATCGTAGTCTCTTTGAACTTTTGCCAATTTCGCCCGAGTGTCTGCGAGTTCGGATCTGAGCCTTTTATTTGAATCTGTAGTGGTGTCGATCAAATGATCGCAAAGCTGGTGGTCCTCGATTGTTCCATCGGACTCCTAGCAAAGTGAGTTTGTCTTCTAGGAGGGAACTAAGGGTGAAGTGCCTGACTCACCGAAAGAATGGTGTCGATTTCACGTTGGAGACGTCGTCTCTTGACTGGTCGATACAAATCAGTCAAGTTTCGGCCGGACTTGGTTGCATTTGGCATTATGTCAAGCCAGATAGAAGATAGAGGATGAGGCAAGAACACAAATAATTTGGCTTCCTCCCGACTAGTTCTTGTGGTTGCAATAACCACGACGAGAGGGATATGGTCGAAAGAATAAATTTTCAAAAATTGACTGACAGTCAGGCCAACGCGATTTAAAAGGAGCTTCTAGCTATGATTTGTAGCCCCCAGCCCGGGAAATAAGCTTTGACTATTTGAAGTCTAGCGGGTGCTAAGATGCTACCGGTGCTGTCTCTACATTGTTTCCTTTTGGAGACAATATAGATGTATGATTGGCCGCATTGTATTTCGAACTTTGGCGAGACCTGGCACATTACCGGGTCCTTGAGCAAGAAAACGAGTGTGTCTGGGGTTGTCTCTTTTCGATTACCTCTTTACGAGGTTTGGTTACCGAGAAACATGTGCCTTCGCTCGATGTGTCTTGACTTAGCCTGCGTAGTACTGGTTCTGTCCTCCTCTTGGTAATCTCAAGAAGCAAAGCTACAGTTTGTGGGCCACCAGATGGCCTGGAACACCCTGAAGGCTGATCCCGGTACGAAAGAAGCTAAGGGTGGAATAATTTCGGGGAAGTCGGAAGGTGGATCCCATGCTCTGCTAAAGCCGATATGGAAATAGTCAGATAAGCCGTGATCAGCCAAGGCGAAATTTCAACGTGATGGATAGATAAATCTCTCCCTCACGGTTTACGACATGCGGCCATCTCTCGATGGCGCTGCGCGGGATACCAAAACCAATAAATTCTATAGTTACAGTACCTTCCCTTTTCACAGACTCACTTTCTCGTAATAGCTCGCTGGGGCTCAAATCAGAATTGCGGCCCCCAGCTAATTAATACTCATCTAAGCCCCGCCCATGATCGGTGGATCGCGCTCACACCTCACGTCGCTTCAAATCGCCGCATTCCGCTCAAACAATATCTCACGGTGCAGGGAATCGCCCAAAACTTGGCCCAACGCTCGTTGGAGATGAGTAGGGTTCCAGGTCATGATGAGGAAATTTGATATAATTCGTTCGGGGTCATGTGTGATTCCGGGGTGCAGTCTTCCGATTGAAGAGAAATATACTTTGTTGAGATTTACGATGTAGGAAGTAGGGGAGAAGAATATATAAAGAGATGGTCCTTTTCCAGAGAGATTGTTTAGGTCTGATCCCTCATATTATGAGGTATCCGCTATTTAATGAGTGAAAGCTTTGTTCAAGCTATAACTCACTGAGCAGGTTGAATGTTGATCTGATTCATTCCTGAGGTATCAGGATGGATGCCTGAAACATCAGTCATCCATTGTCAGATGCCGTATGAATCTCAACATACTTGAGTGGTTAGTGCTTGGGCTTGGAGAGAAAAAAAGAAGGCTTAGAAGCCAAAGTGATCAATGTTCTGTCTAACGGGGAGCATACAACCACTCCTAATAGCATGCAGGTCCGTGTATGACCGAATGGTTCGTATAAGTCGACAAGCTGAGCGACGCGGAGAGGGGAGAGGGACCAGGTGGGACCGTATCAGACAGTGCTTCTTGGGTCATGGGCCCTATCTTTGGTTCGGCTGTCCTCGGTCTTGTCCACTTGATTTGAAGCTGAGATGGTTACTGTTAGTTTATTCGGCTAGAAATGACGGGATTTTCGCCTCACCTTCTCCTTGCACGCAAACTTAAATTAACAACCTGGCCGTCTGCGAAAGTACGGCTCAAGCAACACGAAACATCAGCTCCTCCCGGTGTCGTCAGACTTTCAGGCTCGAGAGACGCGGACGCCATCCAAGGACAACGATGGTCACCCACTGGACGCCAGGGATCCAAGCCGCAAGTAGGCCATTCTATGAGATGGTTCAAATGCCGGGAGACAGACACTGCTATGCGTTCCATTGGGTCTGCATCAGGTAGGCATACCAACGCATGATCGATGAACTAATCCACTGGAAGTAAGTCGAGGTAGCGATCATCGATGCCACCAGTAGTCATGTGGAAGAAACAGAGTATGCGATGGTGTTGGTGCAGGGAGGTCGAGCAGACAAGACATTTGCTCGCTTCGCAATCTGAGGGTGTCTCCTGTTGTGAGATCCGAGTCAGCATGTGTTGATCCAGTTCCACGAGATGTCGTGCTTTACGTTGTTCATGAAGAATTCCCCGAGTGTACACTTGAAGCAGATGATAAACAAGGATAGTGACCCCTATCAACTAGATCACTGCCAATTCTCTTCTGCAATGCAGTCACCAATATGCCATGTTGTATCCAGGTTCGTCGCACTCTCCGGCTGTCGCTTCGAGAAGTCGCGCTGGATGAACCGACAAAGGTCACAACGCGGCAAAGGCGCATGACGAACCCACGCGTGACAAGAAATTGTACAGTTGTACAGGGAGACCGCTTTGTGCAGAGAACGAGAGATTGAGGCACTCCGTCGTTCAGTGTGTGAAGGCGGTGAGGAGGGGAAAGACGCGATGGCGCGTCGGCCCCTTGGTCTTATCTGAGTCGGCGGGAATAGGTAACTCGCCACGAGACCTTGCGCGGTTGGCGATGGGCTGCTCCTGCAACGGCATGAAGATGTCAGTGGTGTTTGTGTCTGGGGCACAGACTGGCAGAAAATCAAAAGCGGCGCAGCACGAGGCGCGATATTCCACTCACCTCATCGTGGA